GCCCCCTTGACAACCACCACGAGATTTGCTTTCAACAGCAGTGTGACAACAACGCTTATTTAAAACGCGGTTTAACATTTTACAAAAGTGCTTTCATTTACGTTCCGCGTTTTATTATAATTCAATTGCAGCAGTAATGCTTGGCGTCCGCAAATTGCGCAAATCATATCTTGGGGCACCACCTGACCCGATTATCACTACGTCATTGATGATAGCCAGTCAATACATGGACAAGAGAGCGTGTGTGTGATGTGCTCGTGAAACGCTGTGCGCCTAAGGGCTCTAGCAGCTGCATTATGAACAACCTGGAGTCTAACCCAGCACTGGAATCGCAATCCCGAACGGTGATACTTTGCAGTGATTAGGACTCAGCAGTTTGCATCTGGGACCCACCTAGAGAGGGTCCCCCCTACCCCCACCACCTCATCTGCACTATGAGACCCATGAGCTTGGCGATAGACATCAGTCCCAGTCGTGTAAGATGGCATTTTCTTTGCGAAGCAGATTTTCGTTCGAACGTTGCGTTTCTCTCCGATTTGAATAACGCCAATATTTTGGACAGTCGCCGGGCGCGCATGCGTGCTGGTGTGTGTGTGTGTCCCGTGCGCATTACATTTTCAAACAAGAAAATAAATATAAATAAAGCGAGTTTATCTAACAAGTCAAGCAGAGGCTTACAGATCAAATGTTCTGTTACTCAATCGTTGGCATGGGTTATGTGATTCGCACGGGGTTGGGTGAGGTGGAGCGGACGATAAGAGTAATCTGTTGGATGGAAAAGGGGCAGGCTGGTGGTAGTGGGGGCGGCGGCGGTGGTGGTGGTGGCAGGGTTGGTGTTGCGGGTGGTGAAGCGGATCGGGAAGGGGGGAGACGCGGCAGGGGTTGGAGGTGTGTGTTGCTACGATTGGTTTGCTGTCCAGTGGAGGCCACGGGGGGGAGGGGGGGGGGTGTAGGGGATTGCATGTTGCAGGGGTTGCTTAGGGACAACACGGAGCCAAGCAGCCTTAGCTGCTATCGGACTGCCCGCTCGTTGTTAACTGCGGATCCACCAAGTTCCCATGGCGAGAGGTTCCATCCCACTCGCAGTGGTGATGCGAATTGCGCACGTCGATTCGTTCACAACGGCCGTGCGTATCCGAATTAACGCGGCGCTTCCAGATTACCTTCGACGTCGCTTGTCCTACAGGTACCGTTTCTCTTAGCCACGGGGATGTTGACAATCCACATTCGTGCATCCTATTATCCGGGATGTTATCCGCAAATTTGCTACAGTTATCCGTTTTAGGAATAAAAAAGTCACGGATAACCGTACGAATAACACGGATAACAGGACGACTTTTGCCTACACGATCTCCTCTGCGCCATGAGAAAAGAAAGACTCGCTTTGTAATTTTAGCGCTGATGTAACCTCTTGGAGTGGGTTCCAGCAAATAGGGGCCGTTAATAGGATGTACTCGATGCACGACTCCAATTATCCGTGAAGAATTCTCCGGGAAACAGGAGGCCGTTCCTGTAATGTAGGGTGACCAAAACAAACTGCAGAAACGTTTTGGACAATTGAATGATTCGGTCGCGGGTGGTAACATCCCCGGCGGATGATACGAGTCGCGGATAATAGGGTCGCGGATAACAGGAGGTCCACTTTGTCGATGACGATTATTATCCAGATTTATTTGCGTCCGCGTTAATGTTCTGCCATACCGATTTTAAGCACCAAAAAAAATGCACACAACGCATCCGGTATGTGTTGGCCAAACATCCACGTGGTGAAAAATCACCTGCGAACTGCTCTTTTGGGATTACACGTTAGACACGTCGCCCCTCCCCCCCCCCCCCTGCTGCTAAAACATGGCAAGATCCTCCCGAATAAGAGCACTGAGACTCGTTGAGGCTTTCCTGGGTGAACACGTGTACGGATAATGAACACATTCTTGCGGAGGGAGCTGGTAGGAACGTTGGGTTGCTCGGTCAATGGCCAGGGTCAACGGCGGCACCACGTGGTGTATTCCGCAAATATGCCCGACTGTGAGGGCGGACAAAAGCCGGCGTGAGTAGGTTAAACGTTGAGTTTTATAAGGGCACCACGGGGTGACCAACCCCTCCCCACACCAGCCCCACCCCCCACCCAGCCCCACCCTCCCCACCCCACACCCAGCCCCACCTTCCCCACCCAGCCCCTCCCCACCCTCCCCACCCAGCCCCTCCCCACCCTCCCCAGCCCCTCCCCACCCAGCCCTTCCCTACCCTCCCCTCTCTACCCAGCCCCACCCCTCCCACGTGGATAGACATCCACAGACATACATAATGAATCCCCTGCCTCCTGTGAATTAATCCCGGTTGGGCTTCCAGTCCACTACGTTTCCTACCAGTATAATAATATGAGTAATGATGCGATAATCAAAAGTATTACACTGATGAGCAATGCTCTGAAAACCTGCGGCAGAGTGTTTAATTTTCTAAAGAGAGTGTTCTGACCTGGTGAATGGACAAAACACGCTCAAGGATAGAGCAGCTGGCCAGGACACCCTCCTCACTGTCATCTGTGAGTTGCAACGGAAATAAATATGGAGCGAATACGAGACAGTGAGCAATTGTGCATTTTTGGATAAGGTGAAAAAAAGAGGAAAAAGTGGGGGGATTGCAGACCAATCTTGTTGCATCCATTGCGACGATTGGATCATAGCTGCGGAAACAGCCAAGGCAGCAGCGAGCCAGCGCCAAGTATGCCAACGCGTGTTCCAGGCCCTTCTTGCGTGACCATAATCTCTCTAGATTTGTTTTATTATTTGCAGGATTGGATTGGCCCCCATCCAGCAATAGATTGGGAATGATGGCTGCTGCTGCTGATGATGATGATGATCATAATCACCATGATGGGAATGTGAGAAATGTGTAGCTGTACTGAACTACGCAATGTAAACGGACGCCCATAATTGGTAGAAATTGACCCAGAATGACCGCTCGTCGGCCCATGCAGCCTTCCCACGAGCATGCCAGTAACGCAATGTGTGCGCATGATCGTGTATATCATTGCTGTGCGCGCACGTGTATGTACAAATTGACAAAGGGCTGCTTATTATTACGCGCGAGCGTGCGTGTGTGCGTGTGTCCATCCCGCAATAATTACACGTACAGGGGAATACGTGTGAGCTGGTCCTGGTCGCAGCAAACAGTCTGCACAATGCTGCAGCTACGTGACATCAATCGAGCATTTTGGCCAGCGCGCGTGTTAGTGGCGCGCGTCATTTGTGCCCACGCGATTTAACCAAATCGCTCGGAATATTTGCCCACGTGACACCTTGGTTTGATTGGCTCTTTCTTATAGTAGAGCGCTAAAATAATAATAATGTTTCCTTTTTAATGGCATTATTACCTACACGACGGTCTAACCCAAATGAAACTAATTATGAATTATAACATTAGTCGTGCAAACCCATGGTTAAAGTGAATGAAAGACATCACACGAATGCACTCCGATAAGAGCCCACCTATGGCCGTGAAAGAAAAACAAATGCAAGATTACACTTTTGGCAATGTTATTATTATTAGTGCCAGTGTTGGACGCTTCTTCTTCCCCCCCCCCCCCCCCCCGGTCGCAAACGACAAAAAAAAACCGCACTCGCAATAACGCCGATCATTTCATCAGTGGGTCTTGCTCTAGGGCTTATTACCATAATGATTTACTGCGTATTTCCTAAACAAAGTGTTGTAACTATGAGACATTCCGGGCGCTCTGTGTGTCTGTAAATATTAACCGTGACCTTCGCCTTGACTGGTGTAGATTGATAAAATATGACCCATAACGTTTTTTTTGGTTTTAATAAAAATAAAATAAATAAACAATTTGAAGCCAGCCTTTGCGTCACGTCTCTGGGAGGCAAAGACTCGGCCTATATATACAAATGCAGAGTCCTCTCCCGCAACGAAAACTCAGCTCTTGCCCCTGTCTCACTAGTAGTTTTTTTATGTGTATATAATCTCACTTAATTCCTGCTATAGCAGCGTTTATAACGGTGCATTAACAATCCCGAATCATCGCAGGCCATCGGAGGAGAAGCACATTTGAAGGGAATGTGAATTTAGGAGTTGCTGGTGAAGAGATCATTTAAAGAGACCCAGAGAACAAGGGGGCCGTGTGTCCGTGTGTGCGAGAGACACGTGCGCGTACCGAGAAGGACGTTGCATTAAAAAGTGGAGCACATTCGCAGAGAAGCGAGAGATGCGTGGAACAGCGGTTTTGAAACGGACAGGATCGAGAAGTGAAGTGCAGTCGAGACAGCGATAAGCAGACACGCCGAATAAAAGACATTGAGACAGATTTACTTTTGTTCGCATACAGACGAGCAACCAGGGAGAGACACTGAGACACTTGCAGCCAAGGCATTACGCCGGCAAGCAAACACTTATCCCATTAGCGGGGAAGAGGCTGTCACTGGGACAGACAGACAATGAAATAGACACACCCTGGGACAGGCAGAAACATTGAGACAGATACTGAGGCAGCAAGGCAGGCGTACAAATGTTGACATTTAAGATAGACATTTGAGACACGGAGACAGATATTGACACAGACAGACATTAAGGCACCGAGGCAGAGCCTGAAAACGCATTGCCACTAAAACACACACGGAGACTCTCAGAAAGACACCGATGCAGATATACACTGAACAATTGTGATACAGACCGGAACTAACATAGACACAGACACCGAGACGTTAAGACAAAGGCACACAGCGAGACGCACCCCGAGACAGAGAGACAGACACACTGAGACAGACAAGCACCGATACACTGGGACAGACACAGACACCGAGACGTTAAGACAAAGGCACACAGCGAGACGCGCGCCGAGACAGACGAGCGCCCGAGATACCGAGGCAGACACACAGGGGACAAAGACACCGAGGGCATTGAGACGACGACACACAGCGCCGAGACAGAGAGACGGACACGCGCCGAGACAGACGAGCGCCCGAGTCGCAGACGACGCGGAGAGCCAAATGACGCACGCGGTGACCGTGAGCCGGACCCGCGGCTCCGCGCTGTGGCGCGCAGCCGCCGCGCTGTGCCCCCACGCCGACGCGCAGCCGCCGCTGCCGCCGCAGCCGCCGCCGCAGCCGCAGCCGCCGCACGCCGCCGCCGCCGCCGCGCTGTGTCCGCACGCCGCCGCGCAGCCGCAGCCCCCGCCGCACGTTCCCACGGCAGAGGCGCAGCGCACGCGCGGGGGAGGCGGAGGAAGCGGCGCGTGCCCGGCCGTGGCCGCGGGGGCCCTTAAGGGTCTTCGCGACGTGCCCGGTCCCAGCGTGTGGGGCTTCGCCGGCGACCTCCTGTTCAGGAGGGGTTTGAGCAGGCTCCACGAGCTGCAGGTGAGAACGCGTACACGTGAACGCGAGCCTTCCGGAACTAGCGGTGGGAATTCTACGTGGCTGTGTCGGGGGTTTGCCGGTTTATCCGCGGGGCGAGCTCTGATGTTGGACTCCTGCAGGGAGGTCGTCGCTCGAATGGTTGTTGGGTACGGTGAGAGGCTGACTTGATGAAAATTTGATAAGGAAGAGTGGGAATGCATTTAAAAATAGCCCAAGTCGTCGAACTCCGAGCTTAAGATGCGCTTAACTTCGTCCATCAGGCCAACAGACATTGCTCATTTTATGTTCCTTGCTATCGTCCTGCATGCTATGTCATAGCCTATTCACTAATTCAGATTCTCGCACGTGAGCTGGATGGCACGAGACGTTAAATGTCACTTTTTTCATAACATCGTCGCATTTATCCGATTTACGAAATGCAGTTATTTGTCTGCATTAACTGGACGCGTAACGATGTATCGATTACAATTGATGAGCTACTCACACAGTGCACGCGTGAAGCGATGCGCGTGAATGTTTGTCTGTGTGCCTCGTTATGTAACAACGTTATTCTGCCTGAATTGGACATTACCGTTAGCAACCCTTCTGCCTGTCGAGACACTGATCATGATGTGAAGGGTCTCCTCACGCCTTGTCGGTCACGGGGGTTGCTTAGCCATACTTCACTACACTGGTCAGCGTTGGTTGGTGAATAACCTCACACCACTCACCCCCCACCTCCCCCCCCCAAAAAAAACACATTTGCCGATGACCAAGTCATCTCGAATGCGCCTTATCTCTGTGGATCCCAGAAGCTAAGCAGGGTTTGAGCGCGGTTAGTGGTCTAATGGGTGACCAGCAGGGCTTGCCAGGTGTTGTAGGCGCGGGGCTGCCAGGTGTGGCCAGGAGATGGCAGCGTGCTGGGCTTTGCTCTGTGTTCAGCGGTTTCCTCCTACAATGAGCCAAATGCTCATTGATATGTTTGACCAAACATCTCAATGTAGCAGGGCCCTCCTGAATAGAGTACTAAGATTAATTCGGGGCATTTCTTAGTAAAATTTACATTATTATTCGTAACATTATGACATGCGGTGCTGCAGTCCTGCACTGTGCTATGACTCGGCCACCTGAGTTCGACACCCAGCCATGGCTAACATCGGTGGCCAGTAAAATCCCGTTTCACTAAAAAATAAGTGATTAACTTATTGTGCTTTGCCTGGCAGGATGGGGATGGTTTAGTTTAATTTGTATGTGTTTGGATGATTTGTTTGCTTTTATTGTACCTTTGCATCACTCCGATCGTGTCTCTGTATCGTTTGTTGTTTGTAACATTTTTATGCGACTTTGCTGAGCATCTGTGAAAAAGAGCTTTATAGCTCATCGGATTCCTCCATTATTAATCAATATTCCCATTCTGATCGTGATCTGCGGCGTCACGATCCCCACAAGCCACACGGGGAATGGACTTTTAGCGCCCCGCCCCCAGCAGCAGCGGATAGACGACAAAGGGACCTTCGGAGTATATTTTTGCACGACGTTCATGTCCCGTCGTGCCGTGCCGTGCGACGCCGTGACCCGCAAACGCAGATCGAGGGCACCCGGCGCTACGGCCCCGTGTGGAAGGCGCAGTTCGGACCTTTCGTCACGGTGCACGTGGCGGATGCGAAGCTGATGGAGCAGGTGCTGCGCCAAGAGGGCGCTCACCCCATTCGCTCGGAGCTGTCGTCGTGGAAGGACTACCGCACGGAGCGCGGCCACGCATTCGGGCTGCTCACTGCGTGAGTATCACAGCCATGCAACTGTTCATAATGAAGGTGTTTGGGTTAGATCGCGTAGGTTTACACGTGTCTGCCGCAACCCTCCACCACCCGACACGGCCAACCAGTAAAAATAGATGTGTCACGTTAACAAAGCGCCATTTAGTTACTTCTTCAACCCCACCGGTGTGTTTGAAGAGTGAATCTACAACATTTATAATTTGAGTACGACGTTTCGCTGGTAATTACAGTGAGGGAAAAAAAGTATTTGATCCCCTGCTGATTTTGTACGTTTGCCCACTGACAAAGAAATGATCAGTCTATAATTTTAATGGTAGGTTTATTTGAACAGTGAGAGACAGAATAACAACAAAATCCAGAAAAACGCATGTCAAAAATGTTATGAATTGATTTGCATTTTAATAAGGGAAATAAGTATTTGACCCCTCTGCAAAACATGACTTAGTACTTGGTGGCAAAACCCTTGTTGGCAATCACAGAGGTCAGACGTTTCTTGCAGTTGGCCACCAGATTTTCACACATCTCAGGAAGGATTTTGTCCCACTCCTCTTTGCAGATCTTCTCCAAGTCATTAAGGTTTCGAGGCTGACGTTTGGCAACTCGAACCTTCAGCTCCCTCCGCAGATTTTCTATGGGATTAAGGTCTGGAGACTGGCTAGGCCACTCCAGGACCTTAATGTGCTTCTTCTTGAGTCACCCCTTTGTTACCTTGGTCGTGTGTTTTGGGTCATTGTCATGCTGGAATACCCATCCACGACCCATTTTCAATGCTCTGGCTAAGGGAAGGAGGTTCTCACCCAAGATGTAACGGTACATATCCCCGTCCATCGTCCTTTTGATGCGGTGAAGTTGTCCTGTCCCCTTAGCAGAAAAACACCCTCAAAGCATCATGTTTCCACCTCCATGTTTGACGGTGGGGACGGTGTTCTTGGGGTCATAGGCAGCATTCCTCCTCCTCCTCCTCCAAACACGGCGAGTTGAGTTGATGCCAAAGAGCTCCATTTTGGTCTCATCTGACCACAACACTTTCACCTAGTTGTCCTCTGAATCATTCAGATGTTCATTGGCAAACTTCAGACGGGCATGTATATGTGCTTTCTTGAGCAGGGGGACCTTGCGGGCGCTGCAGGATTCCAGTCCTTCACGGCGTAGTGTGTTACCAATTGTTTTCTTGGTGACTATGGTCCCAGCTGCCTTGAGATCATTGGCAAGATCCTCCCGTGTAGTTCTGGGCTGATTCCTCACCGTTCTCATGATCATTGCAACTCCACGAAGTGAGATCTTGCATGGAGCCCCAGGCCGAGGGAGATTGACAGTTCTTTTGTGTTTCTTCCATTTGCGAATAATCGCACAAATTGTTGTCACCTTCTCACCAAGCTGCTTGGCAATGGTCTTGTAGCCCATTCCAGCCTTGTGTAGGTCTACAATCTTGTCCCTGACAGCCTTGGAGAGCTCTTTGGTCTTGGCCATGGTGGAGAGTTTGGAATCTGATTGATTGATTGCTTCTGTGGACAGGTGTCTTTTATACAGGTAGCAAGCTGAGATTAGGAGCACTCCCTTTAAGAGTGTGCTCCTAATCTCAGCTTGTTACCTGTATAAAAGACACCTGGGAGCTAGAAATCTTTCTGATTGAGAGGGGGTCAAATTCTTAATTCCCTCATTAAAATGCAAATCAATTCATAACATTTTTGCCATGCGTTTTTCTGGATTTTCATGTTGTTATTCTGTCTCTCACTGTTCAAATAAACCTACCATTAAAATGATAGACTGATCATTTTTTTGTCAGTGGGCAAACGTACAAAATCAGCAGGGGATCAAATACTTTTTTCCTTCACTGTACATCCAGCATCCTGGTGCGATTTGTACGAACAGATTGGCCATGTCGGGTGGTGGAGGCTTGCGACACATCTATAATAACGCGGTCTAACCCAAAAACTTTTATCATGAATGATACTGACACGCGGTTGTCTGGCTTGATCGCCTGAATGTGCGATTATTGTTGTTGTTGTGCATCTACATCATCAGCCATTCGAAAGAAGAAGACGGAAGACTGTGTGAGTGTTGCGCAGTGGCCCGGAGAGGCGTCCCCCCCCCACCACCACCACCTTTTGTGTCCAGAAGAATGAGGGGCGGACAAACACGCCGGGTGCTTGACTGGGTGTCCGACCCAATTAAAACCGATGCATCTGGGTCATGATCATGGCAGCCTTGTGCTCCTGTGTGTGTGTGACCCAATGATGTGTTTTGGTGTCATACCTAATAATCATCATCATTAATATCATAATTATTGTTATTATCACACACACATATATAGTCACGTCATACTGGTAGGAAACGTAGTGGACTGGAAGCCCAACCGGGATTAATTCACAGGAGGCAGGGGATTAATGGTGTATGTCTGTGGATGTCTGTCCACGTGGGAGGGGTGGGGCTGGGTGGAGAGGGGAGGGTAGGGAGGGGCTGCGTGGGGAGGGGCTGGGTGGGGAGGGGAGGGGCTGGGTGGAAGGGTGGGGCTGGGTGGAGAGGGGCTGGGTGGGGAGGGGCTGGGTGGGGCTGGGTGGGGGGTGGGAGGGGTGGGGCTGGGTGGGGTGGGGCTGGGTGGGCAGGGGCTGGTCACCCCGTGGTGCCCTTAAATGGACTGGAAGCCCAACCGAGATTAATTCACAGGAGGCAGGGGATTATACACTGCACTTTCTGGTGCGAGCTCTTTTACACTGCACTTTTGGGCGTCGTTTTATAATTCCGCTCACTTTTCATTTTGCTTTCTTCTGCGCACGACCCTAACAAGTTTGGCTTAAATATCCGTACATAATTACTTCAAAATTTCCTACGAGCCCCCTCCGCAGGAATGTGTTTCCCGAATCTCCCATGTTTTAACACGATTCGTGAGATATACCCATCTCCGTTAGTAACCCTGTGCCACGGAGGAACAGTTTACACTCCGATGACTGCAGGAAAGCCCGTCTGTCCGTAGTCTGACAATCTCTGTTGACTTCTCGTCAATTCAGCCCCCTTGTTCAGGGCGGCCGTGACAGGCTATGACGAGCTACTATACCGGATACTTGGGCTCTCTATATTTCTTCAATACATTTTGCCTTCCAAACCATCCGGGCAGATGACCGCTGAGTGCTCGTCATTCGAGGCTGTGTCAAATGACGAGGAGCAGGCATACAACACTTGTCTTTGATTCCCACCGTTCAAGGCTACGGCAGCTATCCGATGTGCAGCAAAAAAAAAAAATCGTCGGTCCATCGTGCCGCACAACAAGCCGGAACAACTCCTAGGAACACACCTCAGAGCCACGCAGCACAGCCACGAAGACTCGCGCGTTCACAACGCAGCTGCCTTCGCAATCCACCCCCCCTCCCCGTGACCTAGGGGGTCTCATCCTATGCCACTCGCTCCGGTGCCCTTCATCCTCCATTCCGCGGTGGCACTTTCATCCTTACCGAACCCCTACGACAGGTGGGGGTCGCCGCGGTGGCGAGATGTTAACTGCCTCGCCTGGTGTACGGGAAGTTCGCGGGTTCGATCCGGACCCTGCCGCCTGCTGTGTATTTGGAGTTTGCGCGTCTATTTCCCCGTGGTGGTCGCGTGGATTTTTCCTCCGGGTCCTCCGGTTTTTTTTTCCCCCTCCGCATTTTTAGAATCAACATCAACGCGTTCCGAGTAAATTGACTGCTAGAAATGTTCCACGTGACGATAAGCAAACTTCGTTGAGCTGACCAGGTCGCTTCTTAAAAATATAGCTGTATATCTCAGCGGGCCTTACCTGGTAAAATAAAATAAATAAAATAACCCCCCCCCTCCCCTCCTTCCCCTACACCCCCGCTCCCACCGCCTCCCCCCTTTGCCCGCCCCATTGTGCCACGACGCGTTGACACAGGGAGGGAGAGGAGTGGCAGGGGTTACGCCGGGTGATCGGGGACCGCATGCTCAAGCCGGGCCGCGCCGCCGCGTACACGACCCCGCTACTCGACGTCATCGGCGACCTCCTCGGCAACGTGGAGAGGCAGCGAGCGCAGAATCAGGGCCTGGTGCGGGACGTCTCGGATGTCTTCTACAAGTTCGGTCTTGAAGGTCCGTGTGCGCAGCTTCGGCAACAACAAACAAAAAAACAACACAAAACATCTTTTGGTACGCCGCACGCCGAAAGGTGGACTCGGATGTTCACGAACGCGCAGTGGATGTACGCGGCAGCGGTGCGGCGGCTCTTTGTTGTGTATTTGGGGTTGTACCGCGTGTCGTTAGGCACGGGAATCCGACGTTTCGCCCCAAGCGCGTACAAAGAAACAACGCATCGGACGGCGACTCGGCAGATGTTGACGAAGCGGCTGAAATATCGCCGCTTCGACGCATCATTGGCGACGGAGATGTTGCCAATGTTTCCATCAAAAGCTTTAACGGAAAGGACCGTTTGCCAACAGAACGTGAATGGAGCCGTTTGTGTTGAGCTGGTAGCTTGACACGCATAATAAGTAAAGCTCCAAAGTAACGACGTGTTAGTTGGCTTATTTGCCGAGCATAGAATTAGGGGTACAAATTGGAATTTGCTAAAAGTCATGCATACTTTGACGGACGTCTGCATAGGTCCCTTTAAATGTGAGTTGGGATCCAATTTAAGTTGTTTATGTGGCTCATGATAACGCATTAATCTGTTTGTAATAAAAAAGAATATTATTGCAAAGAAAAAATGCACCCAGCAGAATGTAGAATTTATAACCCCAATTTGGACCGAGAACTATTTTTTTGGTCCGACATTTAAATCGAATCTCACAATGTTTAATCATGCTCTGAATTCAATGTTTTGCACATGGATTGCTAAGCGATTGGTCAACACGGATCTCCGGTCTGTGGGCATGTCTTTGGGACTGTCGCCGCAGATCACTGAGCCGCACATAACCGATGAGAAAGCACGCGGGCGAGGTCAGATAATTGCAGCGATTATTTTGTTGCCAAAAGCCCCCGTAAATTAATACGCGGCTTTGTCTCACACTGTGACCTTCAAGGGCACTGCGACCCGAATTCATCGCATTGCAGGTCACTGGTATTAGTGACGGATGAGCGGCTGTGTGCGTAACCCCCCCCCCCCCATCTTATGTTTGTTTGGAAGTAAAATGCAACGGTTTGCGATAGACGCTGCTCAGACATGCGGGAAGGCAAGCACAGTTCATTAGTGGAGACGTGCTACCACGTGGCGTGCTGTGTGTATGCGTGCGCGCGTGTGTGTGTGTGCAGACGCTTGCGTGTTTGCAATCAGGGTTAGCTTCCTGGTCATGTCCGTCAGTGAACATTTTTATGTAAATCTGCTATGGACCTTTCGTTGATTGGTCGAGGCCGAAAGGAGCGCTGTGTTTCAATCACAATGTTATTGCTTTAAAGTGGAATTGACCAAACAGTGCAACAATGCGGGCACCTCCTGAAAAAAAACAGCCTTTATTTCCGGTGAAGCTTTCCTGGATAAATAATGGCATCATCGTTGTGTTAATATCAACTTTGAGCGATATGAAAACGCGGTAGGCGTGACATTGATACCACTACCCAGCGGTGCGCTGTCCTGTTCTTAGCGTGCTCTCGAGCAGGGCCTTGGCCCTGGGTCTGCGATGTGAGATTTGTTTTTTGTGTTGCAGCAGAGGGATAACGCGCAGTGCTGCGGTGATGCAGATTGTGAGCGGTCGCCAAGAATGCTGTGGTTAAATGACTGCAGCAAGTTACTTAAAGGGATGCTGCGTCGAGCGTGCTTTGAATAAGAAGTGCAGATGTGGGCCGGGTGGCTCAGAGGTCAGAGTTTTGAGCCAGCACCTCTGAGATCTTAGATTTGAATAAGCCGTGAGTGGTTTAGTTGTATTCTCAAGTGTAGTGAGTAGATGGTCCAAGCCAGGTCACCAATGGCTGCACACATTAAAACTGTCATGAAAAAGTTTGGCTATGCACTTAATTTGGCAACATTTCAGCTCCAGAAAAATAAAACCAAATATATCAGTTTTGACTGGCATGCGACAATCTCAATTTGAAAAAAAAAATCTTCCACACAGCTGATCTGACACAGCGGGTGCTCCGATAAGCATGGCTGGCTGCGTACGGTGCAAAATAAGTTCAACATACATTACATACATACTGCTTGCGGGGATTTATGAGTGGATTCATCATCTCATGACAACGATGCAGGCGGCAGAACTGTAAAGGGCTGGGGGGGGGGGGGGCATTTAAACAAGAAATTAAAAAGGAATTATTGTGCTCGAATTCTGTAACGCTCTCCAACATGCGTTTTATCCTCGGAAGTTCTTCATTAGCGTTTCGTTTCGAGGCCACACAATGAGGTGACGTCACACGGCGCATGACGTAATTAGGAGATGAGGGAGACGAGGAGGGAGACGGAGAGGGGGGGGTTAAAACTTTATTTTAGAGCTGATTTTTTTGTTTTCTTTAAACACCGTGAGGTTTTTTTTCTCGTCTCAAGATTTTTGGACAACCCTCTGATCATTTTTTTCCAGTTTTCTAATTTGCAACGTAACTTAACACGACATTTTAGTTCAAATTGGATTATCTTTTCAAAGTTTTCTTACCCCCCCAACCCCCCCGTTACAGACAGAGTTAACGCTTTCAAAATTAGCTATAAAGCGTTAAAATATCACGTGAGAGCAGTATCTACAAGAGTAGACCAATGTCAGTCTTTTGGGTCAAATCGAGCCATCGGTTAATATAGCATCAAAATTAATTAATAATACTTGTGTTGCACATCCTTCTGGGACTGCGCTTTATCCAGCATCGTCGGTCCAACGCAAGTCAAACTCTGGAGCGGTCTCGACGTTTCCGAGCGTACCCAGCGGGGCTTTCTGATCGACCGAGTCGCCTGTGCGCCTGCAGGGATCGGTGCGGTGCTGTTTGAGGCTCGCCTCGGCTGCCTGGCTCGGAACGTCCCCGAGGACACTGAGCGCTTCATCAAGGCCATCAATAGCATGTTCCAGCTGACGCTGCTCACAATGGCCATGCCGCGACCGCTACTCTGGCTCTACCCGACTCCCTGGAAGCGCTTCGTGGCCGCCTGGGACTGCCTCTTTGCCTTCGGTACGCGCACCGCAAATGGGGCAATGGGGAAGGGTCTCAAAGTGAACATCGTTCGGACTTTGAGAGTTTTATATATAATGATAACTAAAAATGTTGTTGTGCAGCAGGTTTGGTGAGCGATACAGAAGTTGGCTCAATTTCATCGCCTTTGTCGAACCTATAATCACCTTTTGCATCGCTCTCCGATATCTTCTCGGGGTTGTCCGGAGCGTTCACGACCATTGTCCCTCAGCGTTCCTGGGGGGAGCTCTTTCACTGTACTCCCAGCACGTGGCATGACACGTCGGACAATCACGCCGAGCAGCATTGCTGCACAATCTGAAAAGGCTTTGGGAGAGCCATAGAGCAACAAACCGCGATATGCCAAGCCATGAGTATGGCCTCCAATGTTCCTGTGCATTACAGCAGGAGTAATACATTGCCCATATATGGATAAATGGCCTCCAATGATGCGTTGCTTGAATAGTTCTCATTTCCCATGTATCCACACACACCGTGTTGTAATTTCCATCAATTTACTCGCGCTATATATTATAAAGGCCAAGTCTACGTTGGGTGGCACTTATCTACCGTCTAGAGCTCAAAGCCAGTGGTCAAAATGCCACACTCCTTTGGCGGGACAAGTGAATCCATACATCCATAGCACAATGTCTGTTGACTATTGTTTTTATTTAACCTTTTGGGATGACGGGCTGAGTCAACACCCGACTGGGAATTGAACTGACAGGCTTTCAGTTGGAAGTGACGCACTAACTACAACGAAAATCAGTTGACTTATAATCCTCTTTCAGTAAATTGTGTAATTCCCACACGTACACACGAACACACATTGTTGATGGATGCATGCAAAATGTGTGGCGTGTGACATTGAAATGGGGCCACGTCATGATTTGGTATATTTTAAATGGATGTCTGATCGATAGGCTGACTTCTCCAAATTACCCTGACACGGGTGAAATGTGTGCGTGACATCAATCACGTCCGCATTAACTACGCACCAGATGCACAACCATTTCCATGGAAGTTGGTTGGGTTCGCTAAACATACATACACACAGTGAACTCTCAGTTGTCCGAGGGCGCGTTATCTGGGCTCGCGGATGAAGCGTGCTTGCAAATTATATTGTTGTTTTACCGGTATACCGGATTAAATATCTGGTGCTTCTCACCTGTTGGAGGTGACGTATGTATGTATGTGGAACTTCTTTCACACCGTACGTAGCCAACCGTGCTAATCGGAGGTGCGGGGAATGTACAACAAACTAAACACAAAAAGCAGTTCAGAATCAGAATATTTGTTTATACTGGAAGAATCCGATGAGCTTTAAATTATCTTTTCCACAGATGCCCAGTAGTTCACAGATGTTCAATAGTTAAGAAGCAATGCAAGTGATTAACAGTCTACGTCTTCACCTCAATTCCATGTCCGTAGGTGAACGATAAATCCGGTCCCTATGGTCCAATTCACGTAATTACTTCGACACGCCGTTGTTTATGTTTGATCTGGAGCCCCCCTCCCCAGCATGACCCCGAGTAACCGAGAAGTCGACTTTCCCCACGGCGAGCCGCTACTGCCGAGGTTGCTCGCGGTCGTGCCGTGAGCAACCTCGTGACCGCGCGTCGCTTGGCCGTGATGTCCGTAGTTTAGTGGCAGCCGCGGGGTTTAAACCATCCGCCTTCGAAGAGACCGGAACCCCTAAACGCAACAACATCTGACTACCAAGGCCCGCTCGGCCACGCGAAACCTGGCCACCACGGCGAACGGCGCCCGCGGTGGGCACGCGAAACGCAACGGGGAATGCGACGCAAGCGGCGTTCCCTGTCGGCGATGTCCAAGCGTGGTCGACATCGCCGCCGTGGTGACGCGCGGTTCTTTCTGCGAGCAGCGAAGACCCACATCGACTCGAGGCTGGCCGAGCTGAGCGAGCAGACGCGGCGCGGCGAGGCGGTGCAGGAGAGGGTCCTCGCCTACTACCTCTCCCGCCAGGACCTCTCCATGCGCCAGATTTACGGCAACCTGACGGAGCTCCTGCTTGCCGGCGTGGACACGGTGACGATCGCCGACACAGACACCCACCCCCGCGTAGCGTTGCGCCGATCGCAGCGTCGCGGCGAGAATCCCAAGGGGGAGATGGGTGTCCTGATGCGTAATACGCGTACGGCGGTTAGCGTCCCTGTCCAATGAACCTACCCCCCATCCTGAGTTCAATTCCCCGCCGCAGCTAACATCGGCGGCGAGTGATATCTGAAGCAGTTCTGTCCACTTACTAGCGTGGCGAAATATGGTCAAACAATCCCCCCGACTGACCAACGCGGCGTTGGGTGCACTAGCCGCTGTGTCATCGCTCCTCCCGCCACCCACCCCTCTTACACAACCTTTGCAGCATTGAATCAGCCCCAACTCCGCCCTGCCCTCCCGACTTTGCTGTACAGGCAGCTCGTACAACACGCACACCAACCCCTCCTTCCCCTCGCAAGCGGGTAACAGGGCGCCATGGTGGCGAGATGTTAACTCCCTCGCCTGGTATACAGGAGGTCGTGGGTTCGATCCCGACCTGACGCCTGCATATTTGGAGTTTGTAGTTTCTTCCTTCACGTGGTCATGTGGCTTTTTCTCCGGGTCCTCCCGTTTTTCCCTCCACATTTAAAATCGACGCGAAGTTTAAAGCATTTTGCTGCTATACATTTCCACACGAGAAGCCACCTGGTTGAGCTATCATTTGTGTTGGCCAGGCCGCTTCTGAAAAAGAGCCAAACAGCTCAGTGAGGCCTTGCCTGGTAAAATAAATTGTTTCGTTTCAATTGAACAGCACTGACACTGCTGCCCGAGGATCGCGGGATCGCGTGGAGTTTACCCGCGTGCGGGACAAAACTAACGTCCTCCCTCCTCCTCCCACTGCCGCTCCCCCCCGCACGTGTCCCCAACGCAGATCTCGAGCACCATGTCGTGGTCCCTGTACGAGGTGTCGCGCCACGCCGACGTGCAGGAGCGCCTGCACGCCGAGGTGTGCGCCGCGATGGGCGGCCGCGCCACACCGGGCCCCGATGAGCTGGCGCGCATGCCGCTGCTGAGAGCCACCGTGAAGGAGGCGCTCAGGTGGGGGTGCCGGGCTGGCCTCGCGCCGCCGTGGGGCGATGCTCATCCACGCGACGGGCTGCGGTCATTCTTGATAAGCGTCCTCATTGTGATGACTGCCGCGTGGCGTCAACTGCGACTGCGTCGAACTTCTTCCGCACCGTGCGTAGCCAAACCACGCTAATCGGAGGTGCGGGGGAAGGACAACAGACTAACACACGCAAAAAAAAAAAGCAGTTCTAATGAAGAAAGAAAAAAAAGCAATTTGTGAGCAGCTCTACATGCACTGGTGCGGTGTCTCCTGCAGGCTGTACCCCGTGATACCCGGGAACGCGAGGGTCTTCTCGCAGCGAGACGTCGAGATCGGCGAATACCTCATCCCGAGAGGGGTGAGCACCACGCGTGAGGCACACGTCCACGGGCACTTTCGCGTTTGATCCGCGTAGCCAGGCGAGAACTCAAGGGGCCAGGATAGTCTCTCAAACTAACATGAGTTTTATTTTACCAGGTAAGGCCCACTGAGCTACTATCGCTCTTTTTTCACACGAACGAAAGCCCAACGAAGTGGGCTAATCAGCATCGTGTGGAAATGTATTGCAGCCAGATACTCTAAACGCATGGTGTTGATGCTAAATGTGGAGGGAAAAACCGGAGGATCCGGAGAAAAATCCATGCGACCACGGGGCAAAGAGGGAGAACATGCAAACTCCAAATATACAACAGGCATCAGGGTCGAGATCGAACCCACGACCTCCTGTGTACCAGGCGAGGTAGTTAACATCTCCTAGCAACCGTGATGATGATGAGAGAGAGAGACACGCAAACTCCAAATATAGAGCAGCAGGTGCCAGGGTCGAGATCGAACTCACGACCTCCTGTATACCAAGCGAGATAGTTAACATCTCGCCATTGCGGCACCTCCATCTCATTTGCAAGAGTGGCCCTGGCGTATTAGTCTGCCAGTAGAGGTTGGGGTGGGGAGAGCGATGATTGTTATATATACAGTGAGGGAAAAAAAGTATTTGATCCCCTGCTGATTTTGTACGTTTGCCCACTGACAAAGAAATGATCAGTCTATAATTTTAATGGTAGGTTTATTTGAACAGTGAGAGACAGAGTAAGAACAACAAAATCCAGAAAAACGCATGTCAAAAATGCTATAAATTGATTTGCATTTTAATGAGGGAAATAAGTATTTGACCCCTCTGCAAAACATGACTTAGTACTTGGTGGCAAAACCCTTGTTGGCAATCACAGAGGTCAGACGTTTCTTGTAGTTGGCCACCAGGTTTGCACACATCTCAGGAGGGATTTTGTCCCACTCCTCTTTGCAGATCTTTTCCAAGTCATTAAGGTTTCGAGGCTGACGTTTGGCAACTCGAACCTTCAGCTCCCTCCACAGATTTTCTATGGGATTAAGGTCTGGAGACTGGCTAGGCCACTCCAGGACCTTAATGTGCTTCTTCTTGAGCCACTCCTTTGTTGCCTTGGCCGTGTGTTTTGGATCATTGTCATGCTGGAATACCTATCCACGACCCATTTTCAATGCTCTGGCTGAGGGAAGGAGGTTCTCACCCAAGATTTGACGGTACATGGCCCCGTCCATCGTCCCTTTGATGCGGTGAAGTTGTCCTGTCCCCTTAGCATAAAAACACCCCCAAAGCATAATGTTTCCACCTCCATGTTTGACGGTGGGGATGGTGTTCTTGGGGTCAAAGGCAGCATTCCTCCTCCCCCTCCTCCAAACACGGCAAGTTGAGTTGATGCCAAAGAGCTCCATTTTGGTCTCATCTGACCACAACACTTTCACCCAGTTGTCCTCTGAATCATTCAGATGCTCATTGGCAAACTTCAGACGGGCATGTATATGTGCTTTCTTGAGCAGGGGGACCTTGCGGGCGCTGCAGGATTTCAGTCCTTCACAGCGTAGTGTGTTACCAATTGTTTTCTTGGTGACTATGGTCCCAGCTGCCTTGAGATCATTGACAAGATCCTCCCGTGTAGTTCTGGGCTGATTCCTCACCGTTCTCATAATCATTGCAACTCCACGAGGTGAGATCTTGCATGGAGTCCCAGGCCGAGGGAGATTGACAGTTCTTTTGTGTTTCTTCCATTTGCGAATAATCGCACCAACTGTTGTCACCTTCTCACCAAGCTGCTTGGCAATGGTCTTGTAGCCCATTCCAGCCTTCTGTAGGTCTACAATCTTGTCCCTGACATCCTTGGAGAGCTCTTTGGTCTTGGCCATGGTGGAGAGTTTGGAATCTGATTGATTGCTTGCTTCTGTGGACAGGTGTCTTTAATACAGGTAACAAGCTGAGATTAGGAGCACTCCCTTTAAGAGTGTGCTCCAAATCTCAGCTCGTTACCTGTATAAAAGACACTTGGGAGCCATTAATCTTTCTGATTGAGAGGGGGTAAAATACTTATTTCCCTCATTAAAATGCATATCAATTGATAACATTTTTGACATGCGTTTTTTCTGGATTTTGTTGTTGTTGTTATGTCTCTCACTGTTCAAATAAACCTACCATTGAAATTATAGACTGATAATTTCTTTGTCAGTGGGCAAACGTACAAAATCAGCAGGGGATCAAATACTTTTTTCCCTCACTGTAATCCCAATTGATTGATTTGTGGTGTAACTTTCGAGTTTCTTATATGCACATCAATATATGCACGTGAGGCCTGTTACGAGTCACTCTCGCCCTGAGCCAATGAAATGCCACCAATTTGGAGTCAAACGTTGACTACTTTGCGCACGCGTGCCTGGACAACACCTGGCACTCCCAGGTGGTATCCCCACCTCAGCACCAGGCAAGCTCAACCCTGTGTAGTTTAGTCTTGATTTGTGTAGTTTGGGTGCGCTCAGGGTGGTTTTGTCACAGCTGTGGGTCAACCTTGGTTTTGTTTCACGCTCGTGCCCCGTTTTGTGCACAGACACTCATCACGCTGTGCCACTACGCCACCTCTCACGACGAGCGATACTTCCCGGAGCCGGAGGCTTTCCGTCCGGACCGCTGGCTCGACAAGGGAAACAAGAGGGAGGGGGGGGAGGGCATACACTCCTTCGCGTCCATCCCGTTCGGCTTCGGCAAGCGCAGCTGTGTGGGGAGGAGGCTCGCCGAGTTGGAGGTCCATCTTGCACTGGCACAGGTGAATAGCAAACTCGTACAAGCACGAGGTGAAATCTTGATTTGAAGCTTTCGTGACTGCAGGAATCCATATTCTTTGGTTCTTTCGGTAAAGTCACGTAGGTATAAAGTAAGCACGAGGTGGTCTGATGGTAAGCACGAGGTGGTCAGATAGTTCAGGGTGCTGGGACCATGATAGAGCTGAGATGGAGAGTTAAAATCTGGGGTTTAGCCGCCCGTGATTAAATCAGGTTATCAAGCGTAGTGAGATGATTGTTTCTCTCTGGTCACTAATGACCGCATTAAAAAAAAACTGATTTTGTGATCTTTTGGATTTCATTTAAGCAATTCCAGAAACAGTATTACAATTGAGCACAATTTCAGTTTCATTGGCACGGACGACTGCGTGGCAGCATAATTTAAAAGGTAACACAATGAGCCTGGAAATAAACAACAGCCACGATGATAGTTATGACACCAACTGACCATCGCTGATGTGCCCCTTGCAGATCATAAAGAAGTACGTCATCAAGCCGGAGTCCAAGGACAGCGTGGTACGGCCCATGACACGCACCCTGTTGGTGCCAGACCGGCCCATAAACCTGCGCTTCCTCAACAGGTGACGGCTGTCTTCTGCTCAAGAAGAGATATGCACACAGCTGTCCGTTTATGTTTTATGAATGGAGGGCGGCTATGCCACGTGTCGTGGCCCCAGTTGCTCTTGACCATTTAAAGTCTTCCTTGGCCTCTGTGCCTATTGCAGCAAATTGAGTGGTACGGAGGCATCTCCCCAAGTTGATGGGGAATAGCCAAGCGGTCGTTGTCCGTGTGGGGCGGGGGTCCTTTCAATATAAAAAAGAGACCCTCTACAGAAAAATGAACGTGTTGGGAGTCCACAGATTGCTGTCGAAGTCACGTGTTGCTCTATAAAACGTGTGGGGCTGATGCGTGGCGAGCACTACCATGTGAATGTGGATCTGTGGTAACGAGCTGAAGAAGAGAACGTGTCATCCGTTAGCGGGGCAGGGCCCAACGGGGAACAGGACCAGCTTGTTTCCCGTGCACGTGGGCGGAACCCACCTGGTCGGAATTCCATACGGAGAGCACGAGGACTGAGATTCAAAACAACTTAACAATTTGGTGGAAGTCAAAAAATAGAAAGAAAAAAAGTTAGGTTTTTGGGGATCTGCTTGCCTGTTTTGTCCCATGATCCGTGTTTGGTCATGGTGGCCTGGGTCATAGGAATGTGCTGGTCGTGGTGGGGTGGAGGGGGGGACGATAGGGTTTGGGTTTTGCAAAAGTCACAACACGCGGCAGTGTGACCGTCGACGATACCCGTATCAAAGCGTCATCTGAGACTGCTGGTACTCTTGACATCCGTGCCAAATGTGATCAGCGTGGGCGTGCGCTCTGGAATGTTTGTGTCGGGGTATTCAGAGCTGCAATTCGGCAAACAATCAAAGTAAGAGTATCTGCATCCCGTGAATAAGAAAACAAGTGGAGTGCTCTCCAAAAGGGCTTATCGGTGTCAGCGTGTCCAGCAAACACGTGGCCCACAGCCACCTCAAGAAGAGTTTTCAGCAACGAGAGATTACAAATGTACTTTCGCTGCTGTTCACTGAAGTATCGTTTTACATATTATCTTTACAAAAAATTAAAAGCCTTAACTAAGTGACAATTTGTAAAAAGTGTTACGTTCCGTTACTCACGTGTTATTCAAAGTAACTCTCACGGCGTTATGCCTTCATCCAGCCGTGCGTTGACAAAGGGCTTTATATTATTATGATGATGATGCAGATGAAGAATTCAATGTACATAAAGCATAAATATTTAATGAATGTAAATTATTCGTAATTACGCGCTTATATTTTTTGTATTTTCATAACAATGCATATTTTATTCTGCACGAATACGTTGTCGAAAATCATGATCCGTCACTTCACTGTGAGAGATGGAACTGCAACGTACTTCGGTCGAAATCTTATTTCAAGAGCACACCGTGCGACTTGAGCACCACGGCAAGAGTTGCGTCGAGCGTTTTCGAGTCTCGAAGCAACCGTTCCATCCTGGCGCTCCGTTGAAATAAGAACAGGACTAGCGTGGCAATCATTTTCCGAGCAAAATGACAACGCACACGTTTGCGCGTTTAAAGTACTCTACTGCATTTCAAAAGCATGGACTGTTGGTTATTTGTTTTATATACAATAAAATATGCCACGGGCTTTCAAATTAAATATAAGAATGCTGTGGTTTGATATTACATTGTCTTGGTTATGCTGTCATAAGGACAATATCAATGGCTGGCCTTTGCCCGTCCAAGGACTGGTGTATTGCAGTAAATCTGAAACTTGCAAGCGAAAAGCAGACCGCGACGTGATATATTCATTGCATCCATTCGTGTGCAATTTGTAAGGGCGCGGTGACACAGACCTGTTTCATTTAAAGGTTGTAATCCCTTGTTCATCCTGACGTCCTTTTTACTTCTGTCTCAACAATAGCGTTACGGAGATCACGTGACGTGAGGGTTCTGCGTTTGTAGTGAGGGTTGTGAGTTGACGCCGAGGAGGGGGGGGGAGGCGCCTCGCCCCTCCCCATGTGGAGTGACGTCACTCGCTAATTATTATTAATGGAGGGGGGGGGGGTGTCCATTTGGAGGACGTCACCTCTTCTTAATTATTAATGAGGGGGGCTGTTCGATGTGGAGTGACGTCAGCTGCTCATGATTATTAATATTCTTTGGGTCTTTCGGTAAAGCCACATAGATAGATCAAATAATAGAAAATAATAATAAAAAATAATAACAATTTCACGACGTTTCGATCGCAACACAAGCAATCGTCATCAGGTGTGAAATATCGCGGGAGAGCTGCTGAGAATATATGGTGGGAGCGCTGCTAAGGCAAGGAGTTATAAAGTTTTTGGGATGGGAGTAGCCCAAGGGTCAGTGGGCGGGGCTAGAGATGAAATTTGCATGTAAATGTAAGATCGGGTAAATCTTGACAAACAAAGCTGTGGGGGCGGACATTGCATTGTGAGAGATTAGCATGTCAATGCAAGAGATTAGCATGTCAATGTGAGAAATTTGCTTGTAAATGTAAGCTCGGAGAGAGCTCGGAATTGATTATTAATGAGGGGGGGGGGGGGTTCTCCATGCGGAGTGACGTCACCCGCTCATGATTATTAATGAGGGGCGGGTCCATGTGGAGGACGTTACCTGTTCATGATTATTAATGAGGGGGGCTGGTCGACATGGAGTGACATCAGGCGCGTTACACACTGACATTCTTGGGTAGTAATTTAACTGTTACCAAGCAAGTGTTACGAAGTGGGCAGCAGAGGGCAGTGCACCGAAAGTACTCTGCAATGTGGCCCCAAAAGTCAAGACAAATACGATGATTACCGCTACACGTATTTGAACAAATTGAATCTGCTTATTTAATGCATACCAACAGTTGTTCAAGATGACATCCATTGACATTGATGCGTGCACGGATCGTGCCTTGACTAGCCTGCTAGCAGTGGCACCGGTGCTAAGGGGCCGTCCATAAATGACGTCACGCACCTAGGGGGGGAGAAATGTGACGTCACATTAAAATGCGCAACTTTAAATAAATATAGACAACACGTTCTACTTAATTAAACAAACATTTTAATAAATGTTTTCTCCTACAACATCAGAGTGCAGCGCCACATTAAATACGCACTACAATGACAATAGTTTAAAGCGATTTGAAGCATGTTTTATGGGGGAAGGGGGGGGGGCAGAGCTTTGTGACGTCATATTTGAGAGGGGGGCTGACTTTTTGTGACGCCGTGTGACGAGGGGGGGGGGGTGGTCAAAAATCGTCCAAAATCGCGTGACGTCATTTATGGACGGCCCCTAAAATGTGCAGACTTTGAACTCAAGTCCAGCACACGGGAACCGAGTGTAAGGGTTGCCAACAGCTCGTCCAGTGCTTTGAGCGGTGGTGCCCTTTCTCGATCTCGGTACATTCCACGCCTCCGAGCGGACGTCGAAAGTTTATTTATTTTGTTTTTGGCCCAAACGTGGACCGAGCAATGCGCACCACAACACGGGATGGATAGGCCTCGGAGGGACCTGGGGCTGAGCAAGTGTGTGGAGGAGGCTCGTGAAGGACCGCTACCGGGCAGTTGGAGGCAGTCCGCCCTCCAACAAACAGGGGTGACGCTCACAACAACGAGCGGAGCGCCGGGCGGGTAAAACGCAGAAAGTTGGCACAGTAGGGGGGCACAGCTGGTGCATCTGCCAGTCACCCCATGGCACAGAGTGGCAACGTCCCTCCCAAACTGGGCATCTTTATTAATTTATTTTCAGTAGTTCACAATTAAGAAAAAATACATTAATTATATGCACCCGCAAACACCTGCCCGCCCCTCCAACACAGAGGTCAAACTCCGCCTGTGCCCGTGACCTGGGTCTGTGCCCCGTGACCTCCTTAGCCAGCGAGCCTTTGATCGACACAATTTCACGTGCGTGGCCTCCGCAGTTTTGCACCTGGCCTGGCACGGCCGCCGGGGTTGACCTCTTCGCCGCTGAGTTGTCGCTGTGCTGAGGATTTACACGCGGCAAGGCGGCACGGATCACGCCGAATGGAACGCGCGGAGTGGAGCGCGCTGCTCTCAATGTGTGTGGCACGCAGCACGGAATTGGAGCACGTGTTGGCGAAACCGGTCCGCACTGGCCCAGACTTTGGCTGCTTTATACAGCATGCTGTCGTCATTAAACATTTGTCTAGTAGGCTGATAGGGCGAAATAAACATCGCGGACAAATGCCCTTGCGTCTGTGTATTGCTTATTTTTGTATGTTTCAGTCTACGACCCTCCACGATGGCTCAATGAGATATCGAATACGTAAACCATTTTGCAACGTTGCATGGAATTGGGAAAGTCGGCAACCCTGTCTACGATGTCATGTCAATACGTACGGTGCTCATTCACTTAATTTACTCGTCGAGACGAGATACCATGGGTTTTCGTTAGAGCCATGCCGTACTCATCACGTGCATGTTGAACCACCTGCGACCGCCAGTCCTCAAGATCCACCACTAGATGGCGTCATTATCATTGTGAAAACGCGGGAAATTGGACACGTTGCCCCATGCCATTCGTTGCAGGGCCCATGCCCGTCAATCTACACCCACTGGATGCCCCCCTGTTGAGCTTGCAACATGGGATATCAGAGTTATTGATATGTTTTTGTTCGTAATTTGCCGAGGAAAGCCTCACCGAGTCCCATGACTCTTATTTAGGAGGGTCCTGTCAAGATTTACGAAGGTGCAGGGAGATGATTGTTATGGACACTGCTGTATATTCCGATGGAGTCGTTTTCGGGTAGAATAATTTTTTTGTAAATTTGGACCAGGAATCCGGCACACAATAACCGACTCTTGCTGATCTCGTCAAGGAACATGAACCATCACATGAACTTCGGTCATCCTCGCAGCAGCGCTATTTGGCTGGCTATCGAACAAAGACGGTCACTCCATCGCGCGATTTCAGATGCGCTCCCGCGGCCGTCTGGAAATTGTCTTGCTTCCGATATTAGGAAGCCACTGGAGCTATGCAATTTTAAATAATATAGATTGACAACTCATTTGTGCTTATTTTGTTGTCCTTCCCGCGCACCTCCGATAAGCACGGCTGGCTACGTACGGTGCGAGAGAAGTTCAACATACATGCGTCACATTATCTTTTAACGTCCAGCGTGAAGCACACGGTATTTTCACGGTCAATACACCCGCAGTGTTAATCGGGGCGGACGCTGGAATTCGAACCGTGAACGTCTGCAACAAGAATCGAATGCGCCACCGACGAGGCCGTGCTGCGTGGCCCATGATGCCGTGGTGTCATCGACATTTTGCTACGGTTTTTGTTGCAGGGGGTTCACGTTGCCATGCGCCACTCTGGACCTGTTGTCCGCTGTGCATTCCATCGCCAATGAGCAGGGGTTTAGTAAAACAGACACTGGAACCAGGGACTGGGTGGCAGTGGTGCGTAAAGCATAATTCCCCGTAAAAACACACACATTTGTCGTTTTCACTGGCAGAAGCGTACATGTAAAAAGACACACAGACATTCCGAGCACATTTAATTTATTAGTGGTGTTCATTTTAGAGTTTATTATTACGCAATTTTATTTAGCTTTACAATGTTTATCTATACTCTTTGGTTCTTTCGGTAAAGTCACGTAGGTGAAAAAATAAAAAATAAATATACAAAAATTATAGAAATAAATAAATCACGACGTTTCGATTGCAACACAAGCAACCATCATCAGGTGTGATAACTACAGCAATGCTTTTTTTTACTGTGTTGCAATCTGGATCGTTGCAATCAAAACGTCGTGATGAATTATATGAGTTTTTATATTTATTTATTATTTATTTTTTCGCCTACGTGCCTTTACCGAAAGAACCAAAGAGTATGGATCCTTGCAGTCACGAAAACTTCAAATCGAGAATGAATGTTTATCTACATTGTGTTGTACGGGTATACGGTCTGAGTTGTGTCAAGGAACTTGAGAAAACATCCGGATCATTACCCAGGTCCTGATAATACAATTTTTTCCTGACACTCCATAACACTGTTCTCGGCACTCCCTGCTGTAGGGACCGGCTCTTGAGAGTGACAATGCCACAAGGATTCTTCCCTGCGCTACAAGAAGGTTGGACCAAACCCAAGGCCCTTTCTGTCAGTGCCTCATTGTCCAGAATTCAGAGTTTTCTGTGGCCTTCAGGCCTCCCTGCATGGTGTTCAGAGGCGGGTTATAGCAGCCCGAGGCATGCGACAGAGCCCTCTATGTTGGTGCCACATTACGGCCCGGGATGGCCTTGTTTTTAGGTCTTGCATAATCAATGCGAGGTGATATTTGCGTCCGTAGTATGTATCTGCTTCTACCACCTGAACATTGCAATGTAAAATCGTTTCGTTGTCCTGTACTTAAAAAAGCGTGTTGTTTATATGTACAGCAACAAAAATCAGGCGACAAAAATACGACAGCGTTTAAGTTTGGATAATATACAAAAAGGGAACCAATTGGTCATCCCTATACAAAAAAAAACAAATAAGGTAATATACTGCCTGCAGTGACCAAGTATAAAAAACAGAGGACGACAAAAAGTGTAAACTGCAGATTTGAACGCGTAAAAAGTACTACGACGTCATCAACAACAACAACAGAGCACAATCTCAATGTCCCACCATCGCTCTACCCTTTACATTTTAATTTAGCAACGTTTGCTCCATCCATCGTGGGCGGTTGCCCAGTTAAAAAACAAATTGGCGCTCGAGCAGCAGGAGGAGAAGGCGGCAGCAGCTCGTGGAGCGCTCTTTGGGTTCAGGAGGAGGCCGGGTTGGTGTGCTCCACCAGGCATCGCGGGCAGTGGGCCTGCACGAAGCGCAGCGCCTCCGCCGCCACGCCGTCGCACTCCTGCACGCTGAGCAGCCGCAGCCCGCGGCAGCCCAGCGCCACGGCGCTCAGCCCGCGGCCCGACACCGCCCCGCAGCCCCTGAGGCCCAGCCTCTTGACTCCCGGGCACCCCCGCGCGAGCGCCTCCAGCCCGGCGTCCGTCACGAGCGGGCAGCGGCCCACGTCCAGGCTGCGGAGCCTCGGGCAGCCCCGCGCCAGCGCCTCGAGACCCCGGTCGGAGACCCCCGCGCAGCCGCGCGCGTTCAGGTAGCGCAGGCCGGGGCAGTGGCGGCCCACGTGGCGGAGGGCGGCGTCGGTGACGCGGGCGCAGTGGGCGAGGCTCAGGTAGCGCAGGCGGGGGCCCGCGGCGGCGGCCACCTCGCCGAGGCCCGCGTCCGTGGCGTCGGCGCAGTCGCACAGGCTGAGCTCGCGCAGCGACGCGCCGCAGTGGCGCGCGAGGGCGCGCAGGCCCGCGTCCGAGACGCCGGCGCAGCGGCGCACGTAGAGGCGCGCGAGGCGCGGGCAGTGGCGCGCCACGGCGAGCAGGCCCTCGTCCGTGAGGGCCGAGCAGCCCGACATGTCGAGGTGGCGCAGGAGAAGGTGGCGGCCGTGCAGCGGGCAGGCCTGGCACGACGGCTCGGGCGTCAGGCTCACGCACGTGATCTCCGGGCAGTCTGCCGATGGCGCGCACGGCAAACACGGAATTGGGTTGCGAATGCTTAGGGTTGACTCCAGGATGGAATTGTTCCATCGCGGGTTTTTGCGCGGGCTCGTCGCGTCAAGCGCTCACACACGCGCACAGACGAGACACACAAGCACCACGTGCACGCATGCCGGTCCATAAATCCTTACTGACATACGCAATAGTCGTTTTCATCTAGACAATATGTCCCTTGCCAAAGGAAAGCAGAATTTCCACCAGTGGCCAAGACTGTCGGAGGAATCGAGCAATGTTCCACTTTAGCAATCTATCCAACCGCTCAGTAGCAGGCAGCCTACAAGTGCGATCGGCAAGTTGGCTTTAGGACATTTATAACCTAGGCCGATCGATGCATTTCCCAATGCAGCTCCTCTCGAGACGTTGGCAGAGTGCCAGGCGTTCTTGGCCCTCCACCAAGAAGTCTTTGGCAACCCGGCCAAGTTCAGCTTCAGGAGCATGGGTCCCAAATACAGGTAAATAGTGAGGATTGGCGTCTGGTAGACAGGCCGGTTGTAAAAAAGAATCCAGGCAAATATAACTGTGACGAGTCTGTTGAGAGATGGGGGAATGGTGACATTAATAGAGGAAAAGAAGAGTGAGATTATACTTGAGATGCTTTGACAGGTGGCCAGAAGTTCAGGAGACTACATCGTGAAGACCATGACCGCTAAGGCAAGGACAGAGAGTGGGGGAGACCATAGAAGACCAAAGGAGACAATGAGTTCGTGAGGAGATGCATCATTACCACGAAGATGGCGATGGATCGAAGATAGGCCTCGGCAAGGTAAGGTAATTTACCCTTTTTACCGGGTAAAAGGTAAAGGTGTCGACATGCTAAGGGGTAAGGTAAAGGGTGGGGTAAAGGTAGTGCGGAAGAATTACCCGGTAAATACCTTGCTTACCGCTCGTTAAAACTTCCGTGACGCAGTCCGTGGCCTCCATTTAAAATTGGAATCATCGGGAGTATTCTATAAAAATACAATACAATCACTCTACCCTTACCTTTTACCCTTTAGCAAGGTAAGGTAAAAGGTCAAAAGCAACAAGCCTACCTTTACCCAACCTTGTAGCCTTACCCCATACAAATTACCCAATTGCAGGGTAATTACTGGGGTACTACTACACATGACAAAGGTCTATAACATGAATACTTTGTCATGTGTAGTAGTACCCCATACAAATTACTCTGTAATCGGGTAATTTGTATGGGGTAAGGGTGAAAGGTAGGGTAAAGGTAGGCTTGTTGCTTTTGACCTTACCTTGCCGAGGCCTAATCGAAGGCTGGGGATAGAGGACTCGTGTATGTAAAACTTATTTTGCAATGTACGTAGCCAACCGTGCTAATCGGAGGTGTGGGGGAAGGACAACAAACTAAACACAAAAGGCAGTTCTATAGAAATGAGTTTTCAATCTAGATGGTTTAAAAGTGCGTAGCTCCGGTGGCTTCCTAAGTTCGGAAGGAAGAGCGTTCCAGACGGCCGCAGAAGCGCATCTGAAAGCGCCGTCTTTGTCCGATGGCCAGTGGACCCCACTGAGCGGGGGATACACTCGGAGGAGTAAGAAGAAGGATAATAAACCGGCGCGTTCATGGCGACCGCCGCGAGCGAGACTTGCCAGAGACGTCGAGGTGCTCGAGGTTTGGGCAGCGCGTCACGACCTCCAGGATGCCGTGGTTGGTGATGCGGGGGCAGCCCGACGCCTCGAGACGCCGCAGCTCTGGGCAGCGACGCGCCACGGTGAGCAGTCCCGCGTCGCCCAGCCCCGGCGAGCCGCTCAGCACCAGAGACTCGAGCGTGAGACACACGTACGGCGTGTCCCGGCACAGCCGAGCCGTCAGCGCGTCCAGCGCCCGCTCCACATCCTGCTCCCCTCCGTCCCACGGCCTGATGGTGCACAGGTGAGCGCTGAGCAGGTGTTTACGTGTGTGTGTGTGTGTGTCTGTTGAACTTCTTTCGCATCGTACGTAGCCAAACGTGCTAATCGGAGGTGTGGGAGAAGGACAAACTAAACGCGAAAAAGCGGTTCTAAAGAAATTAGTTTTCAATCTAGCTTTAAAGGTGCATAGCTCCAGTGGCTTCCTAATATCGGAAGGAAGAGCGTTCCAGACGGCCGCAGAAGCGCTTCTGAAAGCTCCGCGCGATGCGGCGACCGTCTTTTGCCGCCGCCGCTGGCAGTGTGACCGCAGTTCGCGTGACGGCTTACGCTTCTTTGACGGGATCACCAAGGTATTGTGATCCATTTGTAGCAAGCACTTTGCGTGCAATGAGCGCGACCTTATCATGATGCATTAGTTCGGCAACCGGAAGCCAATGCAGCTCAATTGTGAAGAAGTGTGGTGGTGGGGGGGGTGTGTAGAGGTGGATGTGGAAAGAGCGGCTGTGGAGAAACCGACGATTGGCAGCCGTGGTTCCGTGATTTTGGGACAACGAGCAATGACACACAGAACGAGTGCGCTGGTGCGGGGGGCGGGGGGGGCGATAAAGTTGTTGCTGGTAAGATTTCTCAAACAAGGGCGATCGAGATCATTTGGCTGTAAATGCATTGCGATTTCTCGGTGACAGTTTGCACGCGGCTGGAATGATGAATTTAATTTCTCCTGCCAGAGCAGTGTGTTGGCCCCAGAGTCTCTGCAAGGCAAACCCCAAATAGTTATTCAAGATTGAGCCTTTGATGGTGTTCATGATCTTGAAAACACTAAGGGCTCGTAAAATAATGTTTAATTTTCGTATGCTTCCTGCTGCAAGAAGACAATCAATTTAACCACGACAGCCGCCACTGGCTGATTGGAATGTCCTGTGATGCAGGATGGCGGTGAAGTTACACTAATTAAGAAAATAAATGCGCGTATTAATTACAAAGAAAAACAACGCAATAAAGCAAACGCGCGTTTCAGGGCACAAACGGATATATTAATCAAAATGCTTGGACTCTCTTCACAAAGAAGTGTCAATTTTATGCATGGTGATTTTCATAGGAAACATTAAAATATAAGAGCGCTAACATCTGCGTGCATATACTGTATGTGCACGTGGTTGCTATTTGTTCACGACGTCGACTCCGCCGTAAATGGGTACCTGGTGCAGTGTGTAAACAGCATCACCGGAGAGACAAAGGCGGCCGGGCGTGATGCAGGTCACCCCAACCCATGACGTGTGTACTGTGGCCAGCCTTCATAGGTGCTCGTTAACAGCACTTGCCCCGGTAGTCTTGTAAAGGCTATATGGGGGATCTTTGTCTTTTTCCACTCTGAATGAGGGTGCTTTTGAACAAATGTACACCACCCTCTCTCCCTCAGATAAAGTACATCTCACCGGAAATTAAGTTGTACCCTGTGTTTACCCTTGACACTGCTCTTTCGTTTATTGTTGGTCAATGTGTTGTGTTAAATATCGAATGTTGTGAACTTGTTTGCTCTGTGACACAGGAATGCTTTCAAAAATAGAAGTTTAGTCTATCAAGGCTCTCGTCCGGTTTAAACAAAAGCTATTTGATGATGACGATGGTGGCGATGATATGAATAATGAGGAGAATCATCTCATTCATTATTGATTTTTGAATGAAAAAAGCTAATTATATAGCACTCTAATGCTGAGCGGACCTGTAAAAATTCACCGTCAAATTTCGATTAAATGTCACAATCTGGGGCTGCAATTCCATTCAATGTTTCTGTTAAGCTGTCGCACACCTGGCTGCAGGGGCCACGTGAACCAATTGCACAAAGGATACAAACCCTAAATAATTGATTATCGCGCGCACAATTTGACGCACGTAACGTGAGCATGACAATCAATTATGAATGAAGAATAATATATTGATGATCACCGTGATAATGTCATCAGCTGCATCACCAGCATGCATCAGCAAGGCGTCCTTGCGATCAACGGGAAAGTTTGCGGATTGGCGCAACGATGGCCCACGCCGGACGGTACGGATGCTGCGCCGGAATGCGCGCGTGGGCCGTGCGTACTTGGGGAAGATCCACGCCCTGCCAATGCTGGTGGCCATCCAGCCGAATGCCATGACTGCGGTGATCACCCGTCCTACTCTTCGTTCACAATCGATCATCACCCTCGCGAAACGGCGCCCGCCGCCCCACTCACCCGAGCGTCACTGCCTTCCAGAGCCGCGGGTCCCACGCCACCAGGTACCAGCGTCGGCAGACGCGCGCGCACCTGCACAGGCTCTCGGCCGCGAGGTTCGCGAACACGCGCAGGAGCAGCCAGTCGGGCAGGCTCTCGATGGAGAGCGCTCTCTTGCCGGCCTCGCCCTTCGTCGGCCGCGCCGGCGGCACCTCGAGCTCCAGGCGGCTCAAGCCGAGGGCGAGCGCGGCCGTGGCGTTCTCGCGATCGACGGGGACGCTCGCAGGCCTGCGGACGCCGACGCACGCCACCGCCGCCGGTGCCTGCCCCCGTTGGTTTGGATGCTGCTCGGCGGGAACGCACGCGTGGGCCGTGTGCATTTGGGGAAGATCGACGCCTCGCTGATGCTGGTGATGATGATGATGATCCGGCGGCGGCTGATGTTGCTGCTCACGATGCTCCTGGCATCTTTCCGGCAAGGCCCTCGCGGATCGCTCTCGCTGCGCGGAGGACGAGTGAGAGCTCGGCGATGAGTGGGAATCGGCGGAGCGCGTGGACACGGGCGAGGATGACAGCGAGCTCAGCGGCTGAGGGGAGAGAGACTGCCTCGTGGAGCTGTGCAGGGGACAGGGCCTGTGCTTCTTCAACGTCCTCGTGGGAAACAGTCTCTGGCCGACTGGCTGCCCGCACTTGAGGCGGGCGTTGCTGGAAGACGACGGTTGAAGCGAGTGGTTTTTCTCAAGCAAAGGCGGAGGAGGTGACAGCGACCTGTGGTGGCTCGAGGGCGGTGGGAACAGAAGCCGGTGGTGGTTGGAGGGGGGGTGCAGGCTCGACTTGCGCTGATTTATCGGAGGCGGGGTGAGCGGCCTTCTTTTGTCGAGGGGAGAAGGCGACAGCGGCCTGTGGCTGCTCAGGGGTGGGGGGGACATGGACCGCCGAAGGCTGCAACGCGCTGGCGAAAGCGCGCTTTGACGGGGTCTGCTCGGGGGTGGAGAAAACGATCTGAGCTTGTTGGAGGCTGGAGGAGACAGCGACCTGTGGATGCCGCTGGCAGGCGGCGACAGAGGTCTCCAGGGAATGGGAGGAGGTGGTGCCAAGGCTCCCAGTTTCGTGGACGCTGGAGACGGCCCGCGGATGTCGTTGGGTGGCGGGGACAGAGGTCTTCCGTGGCTGGCGGACTGCTCTGCGAGGTGACTTCGAAGCTCTCGGGGAACCGGAGACAGCGGCCTGTGGTTATTTCCCACCGGCGGAGACAGAGGCCGCCGCGCCGACGGCGCTTGGGACGATTTCGGAGCCTGATGCTGGCCGCATGAGAGCCCGGCGCTGCTGAGATACCGGAGGGATGGAGCGCATTGCCTGCAATGGGGCAATCGAGGCACCGCTGGTGGGGGCAGCTCCTGCTGCGGACCGCAGGGCGACAGAGGGGCTTGATGAGAGCTGGAAGCCGGGGGAGATTGATAGCCGACGTCAGTGGTGGGTGTCGGTGTTCGATGGCTGCAATTTGCTGAATGGGCCTGGCAGTGCGATGGACGCTGCGCATGTCGGCTGCCGGATTGCTGCTCCGCGAGGAGGTTACGGCAGTTTGGAGGCGACAGTGAGGGATGTAAATCTGTCGGCGGTTTGTCGCCCTCGTCGGAATGCTGCAGCGGTGTTTTCGGATAAGCGGACGCAGATGTGGGGAGGAGAGCCTTCTGAAATCCAAACGTGTTCGGAGAATATGACCTCGGGTGGCTGTAGGGGTGAGGCAGGAATGAAATCTGGGAGCCGCAAAACGGAGGAAAGCAAGACTTCTGGAAACCGGCGGGCGGCTGCCCGCGGGCGCTCGCTTGGCTAACCGGGGACGTCGGCCTGCCAAGATTCGCGTGCGGGGAAACGGCTCGCCGCTGGCCGTATCCCTTGGAGAGGAGCGAGCATTCGTGGGGCGAAAGGAAAGGCTGCGCGTCGCCCGCCTGCGACGACACGAGGCTGCTGTACAGCTCGCAGTGCGAGGAGACGGGGCACTCGCGCTGGACGGGCGTGCCGCGCGCGTCCGCGGCCATCGGCGAGAGGGGCCGGCACGGGGATGGCACCGAGCCGGCGTCGGTCGATCGGTCGGCGGGTCGGCCCTGGCGGGCGTTGTCGTCGCCGTCGTCGCGGTGGCCGTGGTGGTGGTGGTGGTGGTGGCGGCCGGGCCGGGCGTGCCGATGGGCCGCCGCTCTCGTCCGAGCGGCGTCGGGGCTTGAGGGTGGCGAGCGTTTCATTTGCAGCGGAGGGGGCAGTGGGAAATCGTCATCGCCCTCGCCGCACGGCAGGTTGGCATCCTGGGAGCTCAACCCCGAATCTGCGGGGGGTGGTGGTGGGGAAGGGTGGAAGGGGGAACATCGGAACGACGCAGGGAAGGAGTTCGCGTGAACGTGGGTGCTGCTGACAGGTGATAATATTCAGGTGACCGGGTCAAAGGGAAATTCACGGGCCGCTGGATAAAGCATCGATTGCAGTGTTTTACTATTTGTGGTTAGAACACATGGTTATAATCATATATGATTGCTCTGGTATTGCTGTTGTTATCCCTGGTTAATCAGTATTGTTGTTTTTGCTACGGCAATAATAAAAAAAATGAAACTGGATATCACTCGTACTACAAATGCTAATTCAACAAACATAATTGGTTAAAATATCATTTATATTATGCTTCCTGAAAACATGTGTAGTGTTTTATTTTACTTTTAAAATATAACATTAAATATGCAGTCTACTCTTTGGTCCTTTCGGTAAAGTCACGTCTTTCTACGTAGAGTCACGTCTTTCTAAGTAAAGTCACGTCTTTCTACGTGACTTTACCAAAAGAACCAAAGAGTAATTCCTGCAGTCATGAAAGCTTCAAATCAAGTTTCATGCAGTCTACATTATTTATATTTCATTTCTTCCTAATTTATCTATATTAAACACAACGTGCAAACTACGAACATACATGCACAATGCGATGGCAGGCTTGTGTTATTCTATGGGTTATTCGGTAAAGCCACGTAGATAGAAAAATATCACGACGTTTCGATTGCAACACCTGAAGACGATTGCTTGTGTTGTGATTGAAACGTCATGATATTTTATTATTTTTCTATCGACGTGGCTTTACCGAAAGACCCATAGAATATGTATCCCTGCAGTCACGAAAGCTTTAAGTCAAGGCATGTGCTAGTTTTCCTCTGCTCTGCAACTCTGAATGTCTCCCCGTCTCTCCGTGTCTCTCGCGCTGTGCATCTGCTGTGTGTATCTCTCTGTCTGTGTGTGTGTGTTTCTTTTGTGTCTGTGGGGGGACTGGTAGTGCAGCGATTAGCACGCAGCGCCATGAACCAGGCAACCCAAGTTCGATTCCTGCTCATGCTCAACACCAGTAACGATTATCTGAACGTGTCCTGGGCCTCACCTATGTCGGCTCAGCCTCAAATGCGTACCTGGTGCGGCGTGTAAACATCGCCACTGGGAAGAGAAAGGTGACGGGCGTGGTTCTGGCCACCCACTTGTTCATGTACCGCCTTCCAAGGTGCTCGCTTAACAGCACTTGCCCCAAAAGTCTGTTCAGGCTATAGGGGGGATCTTTGTCTTTTGATGTTTGCCAGCCTCTCAAAATTGCGCATTTTGCCCTTGCCCGCTGTACTTCACGAACCGCTTCTCAACCCCTGAAAGCCTCCAGTGATGCTCGCAACATCTGGAGCTCAATTGCCCCCCCGCCCAGCCCCTCGGGTCAAAGAGCCAGAGGTCACGTCCACACTGCTCGTGCGAGTGGCCGCAGGGAGAGAGGACCCAGCAGTAGGGTAAATCTCGAATGCCATCCCCACCCCCAACCCCTACATTGTGCCCCTATTTCTTCCCATAGCCTATCTAGTCGGCGCTTTTAGAGCATTTTATTGAATCTGAGCAGCCTTGGTGTACACAGTCGACTCTCGATGATTCGGTTTATCCAATTTGCGGATTAACCGCGCACCTGAGATTTAGACATGAATTCATAACGCATGGATTTTCCCTTAAGGCCAAATCAATCATCTAAAAACACTTATACATTGTTATTCTTGGAAATGTTTAATGAAAGTCGTGTGCTTAAACCAAACTCAAATTTAGTCACTTAAACATAATGTGCACCTATGTTCGTGTTTTTTGGCATAGAGATCTGCGGACAATGGTTATATTTTTGGATTATCTGCGATTTTGAATTATCCGTGGCCATCCTCCTCGTCATTAGCGTGGGTAAACGAAAGTCTACTGTTTTGATTTAAAGCTTTCGTAACTGCAGGGATTCATACTCTTGGTTCTTTCGGTAAAGTCACGTAGACGGGAAACAATAAAATAATAAAAATATAAAACATTAAAATTATTACGACGTTTCGACTGCAACACAAGCAATCATCATCAGGTGTGAAACCCACAGCAAGAAAAGATAAGAAGGCTCAGCTGATCGAGTCTCTCACCTTTCTGAAGAGATGCCGCGACTCTGGGGTAATACCAATCGCATTTACACTGACCTCTGCTGCTGTAACTTCTTCTAATGCGAAACGAATTCTTTCCAGAACTAGCTTCGCTCTTATCTCAGAGAAAATCAGACTTATACGCACCGAACTAGATCAGTTAGACAAGACACTCTACAAATCACACTTATCATTGACGGCAACAATGTCTACATCGGATTGGGAACATGTAGACAATATGACTGCTTCTTCGGCTGCCACTATGTCGACCAAATGTAAGGACAACCTGATTTCCAAATTTAACCTCCTCTCCAACAAAAGATCGGACCCACACACCAAAAAACTAGACGTTAACAAAGTCGTAATTAATCGCAGTAACAGCTATATTTCCGATGGTCTGAAATCCGTTTTAGCTAAAGGTCTAAACTTTGCAGTCACACCTAAACACATACCAGTTAATGATATCATTGCCGAAGTAGACGTGGCTCTCAAGGGCCTGGGTCACATCGCTGCAGACGTAGCAGGATCTGAAATTGCTGCAACCCTCAAAAACGCTAAGATGCCAGCTAGCAACCTCAGCAAAGATGAGCGTTTTGAATAATATAAATTAAAAAAGAGGGATGACATTGTCATCCTCTCAGCCGACAAGGGCAATGCCACTGTCATCATGGATAAAATAGAATATAACAACAAAATCAAGAATTACTCAGCGATGGTAGCTATACAAAATAAAAAGAGATCCCACCAACAGCCTCGTCATACAAACCAACAAAATCATTTCTGATTCAACCGCATTGATTGATCAAACCAAAGAGTTCTCATTGAAACCTTCTGCTGCCAGGTCATCAAGATTATACGGCTTACCAAAAATACATAAAGTAGATACACCCCTTCGTCCCATCGTCTCTACTATCAACTCCCCCACCTACAAACTGGCTCGTTTTCTGTCTGAAATCCTGCGGCCTTTCACTGGAAAAACCACCTCTGCGGTACAAAACTCTACTCACCTGGTATCGACAATCAAGGGTATTTCCCTGTCCCCAGATGACTTGCTTGTCAGTTTTGATGTAGTTTCCTTATTCACCAAAGTTCATGTACCTGACACCATCACAATCATTGAAGACTTGGTTCATCAAGGACTAAACACTGAGGTACCCCCCCTGGTGAGACACTGCTTAACCAATACATACTTCACTTGGAATGAAACTTTCTACAAACAAACTGAGGGCACCCCAATGGGCTCCCCTCTATCTCCAGTTGTAGCCAAAATTTTCATGGAGAAATTTGAGACTGACGCCATCCAGACTGCCACTCTGCGCCCAACCTTATGGAAGAGGTACGTGGATGACACTTTTGTCATCTGGCCATATGGCCGGCCTGCTCTAGACCAATTCCTCGACCACATCAATTCCATCCACCAGCCATCAGATTTACCATGGAAGTCGAAAAAGATGGCAAGCTACCTTTTTTGGATGTCCTAATAAAAAAAAGACCTGATGGTTCAATGAACCACTCTGTCTACAGGAATGCTACCAATACGGATGCTTACCTGAAACCGGATTCCCACCACTACCATCCCAGAAGAATTCCCTAATCAAGACTCTGCACCATAGAGCCCAATGCATATCCGACCAGGAACACATAGCCAGTGAACTCAAGCACGTACACCAAGCTCTTAAGGCTAATGGTTAATCCGACTCCACAATCCGCAAAGCTATCACTCCAACCATGAAGAAGGACCCTCTTGAGGAGCCATTCAAAACCATCACTTTACCCTACATTGCGGGGATCACAAAAAAGATCTTCAAAATCTTGAATAAACACAAGATCCAGGTCCGATTCAACATATTACATAAAATTCGTGATCTGGTTCCATCTGTAAAAGACGTGATTCCGGACATACAGTACCCTGGCGTCTGCAAACTAAGTTGCCTCTGTGGTAGTAGTTACATTGGAGAAACCAAAAGACATGTCTCAGACCGCATCCGTGAACACAAAGCAGACCTAAAACACGGTAGGGCCAACACCTCGGCCGTGGCAGATCACTGTTATAATTCAGTAGGCTCACATGACATTGCCTTCTCCAAGACAGAGGTTATCTACAAGCCATTTGGCTACCATGAGAGATTTGTTCATGAGGCTATCCACATATACAACCACCGAGACAATTTCAACCGAGAAGATGGATTCTGGCTTATCAATCATTGGAAGGATTTGATAAACCATTTCGGGTTTTAACTGATTGTTCACGCTTACGGTGGCTTTCAGACCGCATCCATTATTTTCGTCTCCCCCCTCCTCTTTTCCGAACATAGATGGACTTGTCCATCTGAATAAACTGCCAAATCGCTATCCGTGGTGCTAACGTTAAAAAAACCTGCCACTTTTTTCAAAATTTTCTTGCTGTGGTTTTCACACCTGATGATGATTGCTTGTGTTGCAGTCGAAACGTCGTGATAATTTTAACGTTTTATATTTTTATTATTTTATTGTTTCCCTTCTACGTGACTTTACCGAGAGAACCAAGAATATGAAAGTCTACTGTGTTTACATATTAACATGCAGGTTGTTTAATGTAGAGCATAGAGGTTGCATTTACAAGATCACGTTTCTTACTAACAGGTAATGGTGCAGTAGTGCAGTCGCTTGCTCATTCCCACTGCTAACAGAACAGCCTCCACTAGAAGGGGCTCTGCAGGACCCCACGGAAAGGTTTTTGGCCCACTCTTCCATGCTGACTAGACATCTTGAAAGACTACCAACATTTTGCCCCGACACACGACCAGCTGATCGACTGTTACTTATCCAAAGCACTAGATATTTAAGAATATATACTAATGTATATTTAAGAATGTACTGTAAACTAAAACGACCAATC